TCGGATAGGATGCCATGTTTGGGGTTCATGGCTAGGGGGTTCACTGCTCACCAGTGGTGAGGTTTTGAGCCACCGAACGTCCCCCTTACACGTTAAAAACATTGCTCTAATTTTAATTTCAGGTTAAAACAGAACGGCCATTGCATCTTTCTACATTTCGTGCTATGTTACTCTTGCTTCTCCTTTTTTCTCTTTTCATTCCCTTTACCTCTATTCTTCACTTTTTTTTGCAATAAATTTTAAAAAATAATAAAAATACATTGCAATTCAAAAAAACTTTTACATTTCGAATTTTAGCGGACTTGCCTGCTCACGCCTATTTCATTCTCGAACACACGGTTCACTTGTGGAGCTGTCGTGCACAAGCATGGTTACAAATTGAAATCAATATTATGAACCTATGTAAACTACATTTTCTTAAACATTTTCTGATTGCACTGAAAAGAAACAACGTGTAGAAAAGGCACAAACGTTAAAGATATACAACTTTGGAACCGAACTCAAACCCAATTATATTAACTGAAAGCAAAACTTCGCGAACTTTGCACAAAATCGTAGAAAACGATGACTTGTTAAAGCGTATTCAGTATGAGTTAAAGTCACAATTGTCACTTCCTGTATTATTACATTGTGCCGGACCGTTCTATGTTATATATGCAGTTTCTGAAGTACTTGCTACTGAAGCTCAATAATGAAGCCATGCCTATGATTCATAAAATGATGCATCTTTGATGTGATATCATTATCTTCGCTTGTTTCTTATAACAGTTTAGACAGTCATAACATCAAATGCACTTAAATTGCAGACAGATTTCTATTTATTTGTTTTAATACGTTGAGTACAATCAAAAAGCTAAAACAAACTTATAAGTGATAGTAACTACACTATAAAACCTATAAAATCACGTAAGAAATTCTCCTTTTTAATGATGAAAATGTTATTTCTTGTAATGTTTTTGTGTTTGTTACATATGAGTTGTTCAAAATCGCCTAAGGATCAGAAGAAAGAAGAGGATTTGAACTTTGTTAGAAAAATCTTACAGAAAATTGAAGTTTAGCAATATTTTCTAACATACTATAAACGTTTTCTCAGGATTTTCTTTCATTCTTATGTAACCGCTGTGTTCAGATTATCTTACGGATTGACAAATCAATTGAGAAGCAGGAGTTTCTTAATGTGGAATAGAAAAGTCTAAACAAATCTTGAACTTGTTTTCAGGTTTCTAGAAAGTATTGTGTGAAGATGATCAAAAGTTCAACACTTCAAAGCATTTGCGTCAACGTTACAGAAGATATTCTTCGTGAAGTCTATAAACAACTCAAGAGATTCGAGCCTAATCCATCATTATGTAGCCATCTAAGGTTATGTGATAGTTGTTCTCCAAACATGTCAGTTCTATCGCTTCTCTTGCGTTCATGTTCAGAATGTTTAGGACAATAAAGCCGAGAGAATTACCAGAGATCAGAAGTTTGGAACATGGAATCCCTCACTTTTTCCCAATTTTCGCCAAAATATCTTCAATATCCGACATTCTTCAAGAAGACTTCAGAGAGAATTGAGGATATGAAATCGCTTTAATATTTAATAAATTTTAAAATTTTAAAATATTTTAATTTCGAACTATTGATAGTTGAGAAGTGAAGACGAGATGAGAAGTGGACAACTAGTACAATATGCTGAAAAGGGAAGAGAGAATAGCTAACGAGGTTTTTGTGGATTTCTTAACAGGCTGATGGATAATTTTGCATGATTTTGACCCCTATCATTCATATCCGGTTTCTGCCTAAGGGAAAGGCGGAGAACGATTGTCATGATCCTTCCAAGTTCCACATCTTTTTGTTTGACTTTCCCTTTTTCTGAATATCTTTCGATTTCCATTGAACGTAAAGATTGCCTTATCCGTTCCCTGGGTATTGTATTGTTGCTTGGACGGCTCATCTCAAACCGATGGTCACACAGAACCAGTCGTTTTAATATCCCTGTAATCATCTCTTCCCCTTCTTTCCTTCTCGTATCGTCCATTTCGTGAACTTAAAAAAGAAACAACGCTGATGACGCTGAATATAATCATTCTCTTTCCAATTTCTCTTTTTCTTCCTTTAAGTACAGTTTTATATTGCCAGTTTCCAGCTTTAATTCACACAGTTCTCAGCTTCTTTATTATATCTCCAGTCTATTTTTCACCATTTACAGAGAGATTGCCTCAAAATGCTTGGACGTACTGTCTTATTTTCTTTGCTTGTTTTACAATGCACAGCAAAATATTCGCACGATTTCTCAAACTGGTTAGCAGACTATTATGGACCAGCAGTTCGAGATCAAATGGAACGGTAAGCAAGAGTTCATAAATCCATCAATGAATATCATTTTCAAGCGCTGATCTCGGGAATGGTGGAGCATTTGGCGGGAAGAAAGGAAGCTCTGATCGCCTGATCAATCAACCAGTTGTTTTCGTTCACGGAGTCTCCGATACGGCTGGTGAAAAAATGAGAGAAGCTGCCAACTATTTCAAGTATTTTGACAGCTATTGTCAAACTGAAACATGGTAACGAATGAATTCAGGACGAAAGGATATAGAGACAACGAATTATATTCAACCACATATTTCAATGGCGCTCAGGGAAATCCGGTCAAGTGGGTTGAATACAGCATGAGATGTGAATATGTTAAACAAGTGATAACCTTATTAAATTATATTCAAATGGACTTTTCAATATTGAAGGTACGCGCTCTCATTGTCGCTGTTCGCCTTTACACTGGAAGAGCTGTAGATGTTATTTCATTCTCTCTTGGAGTGCCTGTGTCACGTAAGGCCATCTTGGGAGGTCAGTTCAATGTCTTTCTTCCTTGTTTTATAGATTTTCACTTCAAAATAACTGTTTGAATCATTTTGTATGTTGTTTAAGGACGTTGTGTTGATACGGGGGAGTTTTTGGGTGGCCCATTGACGAAATTTGTTGACACTTTCGTCGGAGTAGCAGGTCCCAACCATGGAATTAGTCTTCAGGTTTTTAAGTTGTTTAAATTAAACAAAAAAAGAATTGTTAAGGTCGGAGGATTAGCAATTCCTGGTTGTGTATTGAGTATCATTCCCATTTGTAATCAAGTGACAGGATTGTATTCCGGCGTCTGTCCACAAGAAAGTGAATTCCTTCAGGTAGGCAGATGACATGTGTTGAGAATCCAAAAACAATCATTTGAAGGATATCAATAGCATGACGAATTATGAAGGACGATATGTCTATTCGTTGTATTCCGTTAAAGATCAAATCGTCGGCTACAAAGTGTGTGAAAAGGTAAAAAAATGCAATTAATAATAGTAATAATAAAAATAACTTTATTAGATAACACCTCAAATAGCTGGACAAACAGGTGAGAAAGTTTTTCAAGAGCATAATCATGATAATACATTCCATAAAACACATGATTTTCAAATATCTATGATAAAAGATCATATTGTACTTTAATATTTATATTTATTAATTAATAATTATTATTTTTCTGTTTCTAAATCCTCCTCCATTACATGATCTGAATAAATATGAAAAATGGTTTCATTTGTATTATGAAGAAGTAACTCACGCAGACAGGTGACTACACGGGTCATGAATGATTGTGTGAAATCAGCCTTCTCTCCACATGTATAGAAGATGTTGAATAACATGTCATTGGATGGTGACAACAGTCCACAACTTCAATTTTCATTTAATCATATAATTATCATATGTTATATATCTTACTTTAAACGTTCTGTACAGGTATTGACAGTAGGGTGGAAGCATTCCAACAGACAGGTGTTGAAGTCTTCCGCTTCCGTTGATTTGTAAATAAGATTCAGACCTTAACTTCCTTAACTATATCATATGTTTTACTTTAAACACACTTTTATTATTCATATATTCTGTCCACTGATCATTAATCATTTTATGATATAACGTTAAGTCCATGTTTTTCACTGCATTATGCTTATTGTTCGTACATCTGAAACAAAAAAATGAGTATTTCGTGGAAAAGTTGGCAGTTCTGAGAAAAAAGTGCATTTCCGTACCCAAAGCCAACATGACGAGTTGTGCACTTCATGATTCTTGTGAAAACGGTGTCAAACTCTTTGAGGCAAGTAAGATACTCTTTGGGTAAGAGGCCAACTTGTTCCGACAGTCTTTTCTTGAATTTCATTATCAAAATATTTAATCAAAAATGAGTTACAAACCTCACATCTCCGTTGACAACGTGCGAATTGATGCTTGGCATGCCAATGAGTTTGATTGAGACAGTCTTTGTATTCCGTACAGACACATTGAGATTTAGCTGAATAAGTATAATGGAATATGATGAACAGCAAAGTAGAAAATAGAATCGAGTTGAGTATTTGACTCATATGGAATGTTTGCGAGAGTCGAACTCACGAATGGACAGATGAGAAGTTAATGAGAATACGTCGAACGAATGCCGTTTCGCCCGTTATCAGAAGGCTTGCTTGGCTGTTTTTCACTTAAGATAATTAAGTAAGAAACACGTTCTTTTTTATTGTTTGTTGGACAATCAGTAAATGATCAATCCGATTATGGCTTCTGAATGTTCCAGCGGCACCAAAACGTTTTTCCTCTTTCAACTCTTGTAATCAAGGACGAGAGAGGATGGACACACGAGCCAAGAATATTTTGACTTCGAGACAAAGTATTTTGACTTTGTGACGTGTTTACACGTCAAACTTGGTAATATTCAAGTAATTTAGAACGTCAATACCGTAACAGAATTTATTTAAAAAGACGAATGTTTTCATTAGACGAGATTAAAATAATCAATTCAATTCCATTGACATCATTTTTGCCATTTTCTCGTACAAAAGCTTCAAATCTGGTTTGAATAAGTTGAAGAAGGAACAAAACTGGTAACTATACGATATAGTTACGCTTTCAGTATTCAGTAGGTAATGATATCTTCGAATTAAACTACTCTCTCTCTCTCTCTCGTTTTGTGGTTTTTTTCGAAAACGAACGAGGCAAATATCTTAATATGTCTTGCTTTGATCATCATTAGCATTACAGAATTTACACATATCATTACATAGACATAAGTAGAAACAGAGAGAGGAATAGAGCACGATGGAGAGAGTTTTGATGAGCTTTGAAGAGAAGAAAAGAAAAAGAAATGAGCAAAATCTTAATAGAGATGAAGAGAGAAACATCAAATAGTTAACAGAGGAAGAGATATGAGCATTAACCAGCTGTTTCTCTACTCGGATGTGTTTGCATCACATTGTGCCAAAAGCTATGGGTGTGCTGTACAACCCCAGAGCCTTCATCTATCCAGTTTCACTTCTACAACTCTGATTTTTTGATTTCGCATTTTCACCCTCTTCTCCTCACCCTCCCACCTTTTCTAAACTTCTTTGACCCCTGTTGTTCTTGTTCCGTTTCCACCCCCACTTTCTAGAAATTATTGGATATCAGAGTTTTTGTGATGCTCACCATTTTTCATCGTTAACAACTTATTTTTAATTCTTAATACGAACAGTTTTTATTATCTTCAGTGTTTTGGAATATGTTGAGTATCTTGTTATATTCTTGCCTGCTCTCGTGAAACTTCAAATCCGTGAAAAATGGCTGATTCAAATGCCTGGGATATGATGGGCGAAGACCGCCGCTCTAAATCGCCGTCACGAACCAGTCGTGTAGATTCAGAAGTACAAATTTCTCTGATCTCGTATCATTAGATTAAACTATTTAGATTTTGATTGGCTTAGATGATGTTGACTTACAAGCTTTAGGCTTGGGGAAATCAGAATTAGCGGAAGAAGTCGAACGACATGCGCAAGAGAAAGAGCGGAAACGCCGTAGCAAGTTGGCAATAACCAAAAATCACACTCAAAGTATTTATTTCAGATCTCCAGCTATTGATTCCTTACGAAAAGTTTCTATGAACGTCCTCCATAAAATTGGAGCAATATCTAAGCGAAAAGATGTAAGCGTCCCTCTCACCCGATCTCCTGACATTGATGATCTTCCTTTACAAGATTTTTGTAAAATGTTTGTTGTCTCTAGTACTAGTCATTTACATTTTTCATCGTTTATTACAGTCCAAAAGAATACTTTCAAGAAAGCAAACCTTTTTCATTCCGCGATATAGGGAGAATCGTCAAACCACCGCTGGAAACAAAGCCAGAGAAATGGTTTGAGTCAAGTATTGCTTATTCAACACAAAATCTTCTCTTACAGTAGTTATTTATTCCGCGGGCCTTCCATAGAAGAAGAAATCAAAATGGAGTGCCCAACCGAGGTTTATTACATGTTGTGATTAGATATCTATTTTGTATTTTAGAAAGAAAGATTGCCAGAATACGATCCATACTGTCCTGTTCATGGAAGTCGTCGCAGAGTCAGTCGACGTGATCGACTGGTAACTATGCAATCTCTCATGAGTAGTGTTGATCATGATTCAGCACTAGATGGTGTTCCAAACATATATAGGTTTAGATGCTTAATGACAGTTCATTTTTGTTATGTAAAAGTTCTTCAGCCAAGAATTTGTTCGCAAAATCATTCGTAAAAAACGCATAGAGCAGGAGACTCCTTCTGAAAGACGTAGGAACCTGAAGACGATGCAAAAGATAAGAGTACGCCAGACTGATATTACTTGAATAAAAATATTTGTATGATTATAGGCTAATTTGTGGATTATTTCATTATCCTTTCTATTTCTGTTCACAGCCTTCAATGGACTACAGAACCTTCAGTCTACTATAAACAGCGAACTTGGATTGGACAGTCTTATGTAGGCTCAAAAATACAGTTATGACTTCATGACTTCACTTTCAGAGTCATGTACATAACACTAGCAATAACATCGCTGTTTATCCCACCTTTCATGATAAATCGCTTAGGATGTAAGCTCACTCTAATTGGTGCCATGTGTGTTTATGTTATTTACATGATGGTTAACATTCGACCAACGTAAGTTTCACTCTCAACAGTGTATTCCAAACAGTCGACTCCGTTTTTTTGGCTCTGTTCGATTGCTTTCTATTTCAACTGAAAAATAGAAAAATGTTAAAAGTTTATGCTCAACTCCTAATGAATTCTCAGTTACTACTCGATGATCCCCGTGTCGATTCTACTCGGAGCAGCTGGATCCTGTTTATGGGGAGCAGAATGTGCATATATCATTGAGATGGGATTGAAATACGCAAAAGTTAATTATGAATCACCGAACTCTGTGATATTCCGGTATATTACTGTGTAAAGAAGAAGCTGAACAACGAAATTTCAGTTTTATCGGATATTTTTCAATGATCGTTCATTTGGGTCAGGTAATTGGAAATTTTTTGTCATCGTCCATATTAACAGCAGCCATCAAGCAGTACGATATAGAGGATGCTGTTGATAAAACGTAATGAAATGCCAAAAGACTGAAGAATTCTATTAATTTTTTACAGTTGTGGTCATATGTTCCCAATGAACACATCTGATTTATCTACTAGAGCAACAGATAATCTGAAGAGGCCCCCTCAAAGGGTTCTTGTTGCAGGTAGAAACAAACTTCTTTTCAGTAAAGAAACAGTATCATTATAGTTTGCTTGGCATACTTGGCTTGTGCTATAGTTGCTGTGATGATTCTCTCAATGTTCCTAAATGCATTAACGAAAGATGTCCTCAATAGGTAAGTGTTTTCATAACTAGAAAGTCTTACGAATCGATATCAGGAATAAAGCACCTCATTTTAATCCTTTGATTCTACAACTGACATGGAAGAACTTGAGAAGCCTCAAAGTCATGTTGCTCGTTCCGTTAACCATGTTCAATGGAATGGGAAAAGCTTTCTTCTTCGGTATTTTTACCAAGGTTGTTCAAGGTTATCTATTGATCCTTAATTATATGTTTTTTTCCAGTCTTTTGTTGGCTGTGGGTTAGGTGTTGCTCAAATTGGATTTGTTGGAACTTCTTTTGGCATATCTGACGCTGTTTGTTCTCTTGTGTTCGGGCCATTGATCAAACTATTCGGTCGAATGCCCTTGTTTGTCTTTGGAGCTGTTGTTAATCTATTAATGTTATTAACATTGATGGTAATTATTAAGAATCTTCGCAAGTTCATATTTCTTGAATCTAGATTTGGCCTGTAAATCCAGCAGATACGGCTATTTTCTATGTTGTTGCCTGCGTTTGGGGAATGGCTGATGGCGTATGGAACACTCAAATAAGTGGTGAGAACATTTTTCTGGATTTGAAATGTAAATATATTTCTTATAAGGTTATTGGGTAGCACTTGTCGGTCGTCAATCGTTAGAGTTCGCTTTCACAAAGTATCGTTTATGGGAATCGTTCGGGATGGCCGTAGGATTTTCTTTGATGAGAGTAGTCTCCGTTCAAGTGTATTTATACATCTCAGCAGGAATTTTGTTATTCGGAATGGCTGGCTATAGCACCATTGAGAATTATGATAAGTTAAAAGTAAGATATTGATAAGAATAACTTAATGAGAGATTATGATTCAGCTATATCTTCTGCAAATGTTTGGAGTGTGCGCTGTCAATCAGAAAAAGCCAGCTGTTATCTCCATGGAACAATCACTTATAAGTCAACATAACTGTTGAGAACATTTTTATTTTTCTTTCAACTTCTTCTTCATCACGGGTCAGAACGTTTTCTGTTTACAAAGCTTTACCAATGAAATGTTTTTTCATATGTCCTGTAAGCACTATGATATGATATTCTTGAATGGAAAAAGTAAAAAAAAAGAAGAGAAAACTCAAATGAAACAAAGAAAATCAATTTGTATATGATCGTATAGGAAGGATTTTAAAAGAATTTCTAGCAAGTTCAAATAAAGCGGGATAAGGAGAGATTCGGGTTTTCCTTCCACATCACCTTTTCTCATTTCTTTCATTCATCAACACATTTGAACTACAGAAAGGTTTTATTTCACAACAATCTTCATTTTTCTCTTCAATTCTCTATATTATTGTATAAGTTTATTGAGAAATGATTATCTGATCTTATCAAACACATAAATGAACATATTTTGAACTGTTTTATCAACTCATATACAGTCGTCAAACGTTTCATTTCTCTTCTACCATCTTTTCAAATCCGTTTTTTTAAAATTCATTTGACCTGTTTTGAGAATGAAATAGATTAGCCCATTTTCATATTTGAAAAAAAAATGTTTAACTATTCTTATAGCTATTTCAGAAATGATAATAATACTTGTTATTTTCTTTGTTCATTCAACTTTCGGACAATTCACTTCGCAAACCTATCCTGATCCTCGCTTGGATCCTTTATCATGTCGTTTGGCTCTTCCATCACCTGTTTGTGATCCATCAGCCGTGGTTACTGATGAAGAACGTGCAAATCTCATTAACAAAGTTAATCAGGTTCTCATCTCCTATCCTGTAAAATTCTTTATGGTTTAACTTAATTTCCAGCTTCAATCAGTAACACGCGGAATTCGTAACACATCTCCTGCTTGTGTTCTACAACCAGAAAAGAACATGGAGGTAACTGCATATAATGCATTTGTTAAATATCATGTAACTTTGATAGATAATCATCGCCATCGTTGATAAGATCGGTAACATCCCAGGTGCACCAGTCGATATTGAAAAGTTCGCCAACAATCTCAAGCGCCGTTATCAGAATTTCCAAGTTTGTTAATAATATATTTGAAATGGAAAGTCGTTGAAAGTGACCGAAATGACCCACATTCTGTCCTTTCACTTTTCTCTTCTGACCGGTTTTGATTGTAAACAATTAAAATTATATTTTTTAATCTTCTCAAATTATATCATTTTACAGGATATCTCAGTTTGTGACACAACCATCCTCATCGTCAATTCTAGACAAGATCGACAGGTAAATGAAGCATTTGATTTCGCCTAGTTCAACATGTTGGCGAAAGCTGTTCGAACTTATAAACTGTTCTTGTTCACCAAGAGCAACCGATCTCGTTTTGCAAACTTGAAAAATGAAACCGCGTCAATCAGGACGTCAGCGTCTTTCACTTGTCTTTTGTTTACGTATGCATCTTTAATGCTTATTACCAGGTATTCACCGTTGCTGGAAGAGATGCTCGAATTTCAAAAGAAACATTGAAAAATGCATTCGAAAGGAATATTGGTAGATAATCAGTTGAGCACTTCCATTTAACACTTCGTTTTAGCTCATTTCAAAACTGGACGCTATGCTCTAGGCCTTGAAGGAATGATTGAGGTTATTGTTGCAGCATACACTAATGCTCATATTGTCCAAATACCTTCACAGGAGAACTTCCGACCAGAATCCAAGTAAGAATGCAAATTTTAAAAAATTTAATTATTGTGAATTTAGTTTTGTCCCCATAACATCAGAGCCACAGCCATTCAGGGCAGCAGGAATCCCCAACAGTGTGCAGCCAGCTAAGAAGAACTTCGAGATATCCGAGCAGATTGATGAGAAAGATCAAGTATTATTAGCTCGTTGTAAGCAAGACTATAACTTCTTTTGATAGGTTTGGGTTACCATCATGCAACAAGCCTTGGCCAGATGTGGTCAGGACACCACCAACCTTTCTAAGCACGTGAAAGCTGTAGTTGAGGGTGAGTTAAGAATGAGAACAAAAGAATACTATAGCAATTACTTTCTAGAAGCTATGAGCATTTCTTTGAAACTCATCTCTGATACTCGTTATAACTCAATCGAAGAAGAAGTTGAAACTAACAAGGACGTCTTAGGAATTAGAGACAGGTACAAAGGATCGTCTGATATGAAAGGTTGAAATATCTTTTGCAGAGCTTGGGAGACAGCCAAAACAGAATTCATACTTCCTCTTTTCAACAGATATAAGAATACAATCCTCAACAACTCCAACAATCAGTGTCCTTCATCAGCTTCTTCATTTCAAAGAAAGAGAAGAGTATGAATTAAATATTAATTTGTAAGAACAGTTCAGACGGGTAAACCGAAACATTGATGAAATCCTTTGATATTCATTAATCTGCATAATAATTGTTTATTTATATGATTATCCTTTTCCATTGAAGATGGACGAGCGTGAATGTGCGCGCGTCGTTCAAAAACCCTTTTCAATGATTTTTTTGTAATTTCTCTGTGAAAAGAAACAGCGTTTTTATTGTTGTTGTTCATCTTCTTATGCAGAAGAAGAACAAATATGTTTTATCCTTTCAGTTTATCAAAACCTATAACAAAGATTGAAACTTTTCGTGTTTGTATAAAAAGCATAAAGAGTATAAGACTCCCACACAGGCTTTCAAGTATTTTTTTCGGCCGAAGAGGCATATATCACAATAAAAAACTTTTTTTAACCCTCAAATGACATTTTGTTCCTCTTGTTTTTGCTCCAAAAAAACATCTGCGTAGCTCTTGTACTGAACTGAGCGAACTACAAAAGAGTTAAGGAAAACGTTTCGATGTTTTTTAAAGTGTTCTGATTTTTGATTGAAAGTTCCATCCGGTCTAGGAAGAGGGGACAAATTGAGAAGCGAGAAATCATCATCACAAGAAAGGGATAGGGAGAGAAAGGAAAAGGAAGAGAGAGGGAAAGGTGAGATAAGTAGAATGAAGAACCGAAAGCGTTACGAAAATTGTTTTGCTCATAGGATTACCTTATGATTTGCTCACCTTCTTATTGTTTCTGTCAAAATATGGTCAGATTTCATAATAATATCGTTCATCCCTTTCGTTCGAACACCAATGAGGAATAATCATAAGTTAAGTAGGAAGCAGAAGAAGAAGAAGCAGAAGAAGAAGAAGGAGAAGAAGGGGGAATAGTATATGGAGAAGAAGAAGAAGATGGAGATTGTCGATGATCAGAAGAAGTTCGGCAAAAGGTTACCAAACTCAGAAGTGTGAAATATTTGTTCAAGAAGCTTATTATTGACACATCTTCTATCGAAATTTGCACCTTATTGCCGTCAACAGTGAAATTACATTAATCAAGTAGAGAATGGAGATGTTCACTAGGCCTATACCTTGTGCTTTCTTACTAAAGCTAAGTAAAAAGCTGAATAAACACAGACTTTGATCAGCTTGATCTCACTAAAAGCTGACCAATGCGACTTCCTTGCAAGATTATTCGTAAAGCCTTTCACGTGTTCATAGAGGTCAGCGTGATCTTCTCAACTTTTTTGCCACCAAACTTTCACATCGTCGCAGTCAGCTTTTACCCACAATCTGTTGTCCCAGAACAATGCTTCTCTTTACCCGTTTTCCAACTTTTTGTACGCCAAATAAAAAAAAGAGTTTGTGAACTGTCGTCAGAATAGGTTTGAGTACCTTCAGATGGGAAAATGGAAGAAGAAGGTTGTCTTTTCCCTTATACGAGAAGATCTGATAAAGCAGGGAGGAAGATGAGCACAAAGCTCCATTCCAAGTCTCAACACACCCTGTATGGACACTTGAAAATAACAACAATTTGAACTTTTTTCTTTACATTGTAAAAAGTAAATGGAGACGATCTTTGATTACTATTCAGAGGTCATTTCATCTGAAGGATTCGAACTTTCATTGATGTACTTCGTGGCTGCTTTGCAAAAGCGTTTGCCCTTAGGAGTTAAAAAAAAGGTTGAAAGAATGCAAAAAAAGGAGATGGAATGAAGATTTACAATGGTATCCTTAGGTTCTTCCACGAACAATTCTCTGATTTCTTTGCCTTCAAATCAACTTTGCAACTTTCAGTTGAATTTTGTTTGCTTTAGTTCCGAAAGTTTGTTCACAATAAGCGTACACGCACGATGAACCAATGTAACAGTGAGAAAATCTGCAAGAAGACATAAGAAAAGCAAAGAAATAACAAAAAGATATTCAAAATATAATAGAAACGTATGAGATATTATACACTCGCATACACGTTCAAAAAGAAAAGAATGAAGAAACAGAATGATCGCTTTGATCCAAAACATGCAGTACAAAGTTCGAACAAAACAGTTCTTGTACCGGAAAAGCAAATGCACTCACTAAATAAACATATATGTGTCTATATTATGATGCATATACATATAGATGTATATATATATAGAAATATTTTAATATTAAGTTATTAACTATATAAATATAGTTAGTTTTTTGAATTGGATAGGTGTGAGAATAGTAACAGATACGGATATCTCATAGCATTGAGTGCAAACTTTGAATTCATTTTGACGTTCACGTCCTCACGTGGCTTCGACGTGAATCCTTTCACGTAATTATCAATTTAATGTTTACTTAATGTTGGAGTTGGTTGCTTTCCGCTATAAGCTGTATTTCCCCTAAGGCTTTTATGTCACTTAATAGGATAAGATAAGTTCTGTAGGTGGTAGAGAAAGCGTTTTTTTCAAAATCATTTCATTACATCAGAGTGTGTGAAACAAAATCTCAGAAAGTTAATGATTGAACTGAAAGAATTGAATATTAGCTGAAGATGATATAAGAGGTTTGTCTTGCATGTATTCAATTACTGCTTTCATTCCCAAACAATAAGCTAAGACCAGACATTGCTGGCATTGCTCACGTCAGAAGAAGATGTTCAATCTGCTTCTCACCTTCAAAAGATTCTTTGATTTATCCCTTATATTTCGCTATTCTCTAACTCTTTCTCAACTACCATACCTGTTAAGTCTAGTCTACTTATAGACAGAGAGGGAAAAAAGAAAATAATTGAGTAAAGAGAGAGAGATAGATTGTGAGAGACAGAAAGAGATAGAAATCTTGAGGTTTTTGCGTTGACTATGGTGGGCTGGCCGATGAGATGGAAGAGCCTATAAAAGGAGACGATTGGTCAACGTCTACCGACGAGACCAATTGACACCCCTCCCACTTATTTCCTTTCCATCTTTTTGTCATCTAAATCGTCTATCCTCCCCCCCTCCTCAACTTTGTCTGTTTTTATTATAAAAAATAAGTTGAAATTATCAGTTGATTGATAGATATCATCTGAATTATTCTTGTTCAATTCATCCTAATTGAATATAAATAATTATATTTTTTATTTATTATAAAACGACTCTTCGAACAATGCGATTGACAACAAATCTTTTGTTTGTTTTATTATTAGTTCTTCCTGGTAAGTTTGAAGCTTTAACTCATTCATAACAATTTCCCTCATATTTCATTTGTATAACCTACAACTTATTTATTTTCTTCTTACAGTTCTCTCGACTCCAGCCACAACAGAACAGTTACGACAATGGATATTGGCGAGCAGAAAAAATCTTCCTGATGATAACTCTCTTGGAGATGGCGATATTGCTGGAACTATTTTGAGGTAACAAACCTAGTTTTATTATATTTTATAAATATTTTCTCTTCTGAAGATTATTCGGTTTTGGTAACGAAAAACCATCATCGACTCCACCAACGACAACCAGACCAAGACCAACGACTACGACGACGACAACGACAACGGAAGCTCCCACAACGACCACCAGACGTCAAGACGGTCAGTTGACGATAATTATTTCTTTTCAATATGAGTCAAAAATCACGAAAGCTTAGCAATTTGATTGCTTTGAACTCTTCCCTCTCATTACATGGTCATTTTTCAAATGATTTGACATCAACGATCATGATCTTAACATCCACGAGCGTTTACGGTAATTCGTCGCGAAAACAAGGAGGGGAAGCTCGAAGCTTTTTTTTCTAATTCTGACGTAATATTTCCTTTTCCCGACCAATGACACTGCTTCGCAGAGTTCAATGAGATGTTGTTTCTTTTTCTGCTAAATCTCTCAATTTGATGATTGCTGTTGAGATAAGAAACTTCTCTCCACTCATTAAATGTGATCGAGAAGAGATCAAAAAAACGCAGCAAAAGCTTCCTATAAGTAATCAGAAAAACGCCTTGAGCGATAAGACGGGTCAAACGGGCACCTTAGACAGTTCACGCACATGTTGACATTCGCCTTTTTTCAACTTTTCGGTCAAAACGTCCGAAGGTAGAAGTGTTTGTGTGAGAAAGAGAGATAGAGAAGCCGAACTTCTTTCGTCTTTTTCATAAGCCGATAGCGTGAGTTAGGCGAATGATGAGATAATATGAAGACGAAGAAGAAAAAAAAATGGAACTGATGAAGACATTTCAATTTGTTTGTTCTAAAGAAGGAAGATTTGATGAGAAAAAAAAGCTGAAAAGCTGTCCATTCGTGCGGATGTGCTGATTGCTGGTGCAAATACAAAGGCAATAGTCCGAACCAAATAGTTTATAAGCTTTACTTAACAGCAAACTCTGACATGAGTTAAACAATGTGAGAGTTCGAAGAAAATAAGGGAAAACATTGGGTATGTAGGTGTGAGAAGATTGAGAGGAGAGAAGTGAACGGTCAAAGCAGATGAACCATAAACATCGGCTATACAGTTAAAGCCTGAAAACAACAACCCGATCATTTGTATAGTTGCTCGTAGAGCAACATTTCATAAAAGTTTTCAATCAGAGTAACTACAAGGCACTCATGATTGATGTTCTATTGTATGCTTAAGTCCCTTGTATAGATATCGGGAGACTGTTTGATTTTTCATTCAAATATCAAACTAGGAAGGGATCAAGTTACCAATTGTGTTTGGTAAATTTTGAGATTTAAAAAGGAATAAGGAATAAACTAAAAACGGTCAGATCATTGTTAAGCTGGATTGATCCGTTTGTTTGTCCATCACGTCATTTACGCTCTCATTCGTGAGTAATTTCTTCCTTTGATTAAAAGCTTAAAAGTCTTTTATATCTCAATGCATGATGAGAAGAAGAATATTTAGAATAATGAAAAACTCTAACTATACTAGTATGAGTAATATTCTGATTCTCACTGTATATCTATCTGAAGAAATGCTCAGATTGCATAGAAAGTGATAATCGCGAAGTGAAGATGTTAGCTTCTTCTCATCTTCATCTCACATCTTCTTACATCTGATTTTTCTCTCAGATGACCGCTATGCAAATTTACTCATAGTTTACTCATCTCTTCTGTTCTTCTTCTAACTTATATAAGTATTTGAGATGATTTATGAAGATGACTGTCACCAACATACTTGACGTCTTCTCACCTTTCTTATCTGAATATCTTAATATTTGAAGATGACGCTATTGGGGAAGAAGTGATTCTATTTCCTTTTATGATTTGCAGCTCATCTCTAGCTCTACCTCATCCCATTCTAAGAATCACGATCGAAACCTTTATTCGAATGAGCAGAACAATGATAACTCGAGTTTCGTAAATAATTCGAAACTATCAAAAAGTTTAAGTAAACGGGCGGCGAGCAGTTTGGGATGAAAAAGAAAAAATATTTTTTTCTCAAACCAAAATGGGGATTTGCAATCTTTCAAGTGGCACTAACAAAACAAAATCTGTTCGTCTAACTTATGATTCAATAGGAGAGGCTAAGATGTTCGAAGTGAAATTAAAGCCTTATTCTCAAGATACGTAGCGGCTTTGATGAAACGAACTCCTTTTTTTCTCATTTCTATCACAATTCGAACGCTTACTCTCTTATTTATTTTATGTTTGGAGAAAAGAGCCGCGGTTAGAGAGAGTTGTCTCACGTTTGTTTCTTTTGTATAACTTTCTTGCGAATATCAGAATTGAAGGGAATGCAATCGAATGTATGACACTTTTTTTTCAGTTTGTCCATTCGGAGCTGAGCCATTATTACTCTCAGCTGATTATGCTTACTGTAGACCTTCAAGCATTGGAGACTGTCCAGTTGGTTTCCTTTGCGATCAATCCTTCGCTCTCGGACGATCCATTTGCTGTCGCGACAATATGAACCGCGGAATGCCAAACCGTCCACCTTCAGGTATTATTCATATTCATAACAAAATAATTTTCTTGGTTTTTTCAGCAAGGGCATCTTCTATCCGACCACCTTTCAATTGGAACACAGTAACCCCCACACAAGCACCTTCCAAATGGAACACATTCGCTACAACAAAGAAGGCTCCTTGGTATATTAAAGACAGGTATGAATTGAGCTCGACGTTATCTTTGATATTTAAATTATCAGAACCACTTGGCAAACTGTTGCTAACCGCGAGATTGCTGTCACCACAACAGCAGTACCAACCACAACCACAACTACCGAAGCACCAACAACGACAACCACTGCAACAACTACTACTACTACAACAACCACGTAAGTCAAGCTTTTTTTGAGTTTATTAATTTTGTTCATCTTGAAGTCCATCAACTGTTAAACCAACTGAGCCAAGTACTACCAAGCCAAATGCCTGGGCTCGTCTTTGGACTTCCACTGCTACTCCTAAGACTGCAGTCAATGTGAGCATTCTTCAATCTGGAAGCATCCGTCAACTTAAGGTTTGAAAAAAAAAACGTCAAAGACAATTTTTATAATGATTTCGTTGTACAGGACGGACAATCGGAAGGTGTTGGAGCTATATCTCTTATCAATGACAATGGATTCGTTGTATTAGTAGATACTGGAGCTTCATCTGATACTGAGAGACTTCTTCATAGTAAGTTCAATTTTATACTTTTACAACTTGAATGTGCAAAGAGGGAAAACATAGGGAAAACATGAAGGAAGAAATTTTAGTAGATATTTTCAAGTTTCTTTTTCTCCGACAATTGATTCCGTAGAAAGGGTAATTTGCTTTACAATTTCATTTCAAACCGGAAAATGACTTGGAAATGATCCTAAAACCTGAAAACACTTTGTTTGAGCATATGAAAAGCCAAAGTTTAATTAGCTTCAGCCTTGTTTTGGCTCAAACCTTCATTATTGGACGGTTTTCAATTACAAGACGAAGAGATGATAAAACCTCGTTTGAAACTCCAAAAAACGTCTGCTTCATGAGATAGGCTTAAGGAAAATATATGGAAAAGCTAAAAATTATATTTTCCAATCATGAGTTTAACTAGAGAAAGGCAACTCATTGAAGTGCTTACAATTCAAAAAGAACAAAAAAAAAAGAAAAAAAAAAGAATGTTCGGAGCAATTTGGCATATTTCTAATTTTTCTTTTGAGCTGCCATCTTCAATCTAGTTTGTTGAGAAGCCAAATACGATTTGAAAGGTTGTTGTAGTTAAACATCCTGTTAACGCATGCAAATGTAGTTAACGAAGCAAAATATTCAAATAAGGAACATGCTCATAATCCACTGCTATAAGTTTGAAATTCATTTTTATTCTCCAACGGAGTTTCTCCTTCCCATTGTGCAGCTTTTTCATCTTCAAATTCTTGCTCACTTCAAGTTCTCAGCCTCTCTGAACTCTGAAAGAGAAGGCATTCTGCAAGCAAAAGAAGCTCAAGGAGAGGCAAGAAACTCTATTTCGTATTTTCATTTACGCCTAGAGCAATCTATTCCTTCTTCAGTATTATCGCTCATATTCAGTCATCTATACAGCAGTATTCCTATATATACATATTTATATTTTCAATACAGTATGCTTTGATATTTTCAAAATAATACTACGAGAACAATATGCGAATGGACGTTGCTGATCTTGATCTTAACGACACAGCTTACTGTGTAGGCAAAAGATACCGTACGATTGGCCTCATAATTGGCTTGTTCGATACAGCCTTTCTTACAGTAGCCTTTTTGAAAGCTATCCAATTGTTGCGGGAGTATGGGTAATTGATAGAAATTAGTATCAATATAATATTCTGTCATAGATTTAACTTGTTTGCCACCTCTTCAGTGAGTTGCGTTGGAGCATTATACGTCCTTCATATGTTTTGCATAGTAGCTTCTCTATATGGATTTGCTCGTCAGAAATCAGCTTTCATTGTTCCTAAAATAGTGTTGAAGGTTACTACGGTGATACTATGTCTCATCATAACGGGCATACTTGTATATTTCATTATAACAAGCTCTGAAATGATTGGGAATGTCATAGCAAAAGGCTTCAACATTGATTTCTATGAGCATAAAGCAACCATCAATATGGGAGTATTGGTGCTAGCAGCTATTTCGGCAGCCTTCTCGATCGCGCAAATATGGCTCCTCATACTTCTCTGGTATTGCTTCAAAGATGTGCGGAACAGTGAAATACGCAAGATGCTCAACGTCGCCTTTAAAGACGATAAAACTCAAAATGCTTACACAACATTCATGTGAATACAAAAGCATCTTCATGTTTTACCTCTAGCACTCTTGTTACTTTGACATTCTCTCTGTACATCAATCACACTGAAAGTAATTGAACATTCATCGTCTTCTACTTACGCCAATTCCTACTCTTCTATATTTATAGGCTTATCAAAGGAATCAGTTACTTTGGATCAAATAAATGCTGTTGTTATAACCCATGGTCATCCAGGATTTATGGGAAACATGAATTTCTTTGCTCAAAAACCAATTTTATTCCATTCCTTAGAGTATATTGGAAGACATGTTACTCCAACAGAACTCAGAGATGTAAGCTCCGCTCCATAATCAGTTTTATACTTCATCTATCCGTTTTCAGAGACCATATCGTAAATTGTCTCAAAATATTGAAGTTTGGAAGACTCCAGGACATACTCAACACGATTTAACCGTTCTCATTCATAATGTTGCTGGTTACGGTACGATGGCTGTTGTTGGTGATTTGATTCCAAGTGAAGCACTGATCAGCGAGAAGGTTTGTTTCTTCTGTTCTTCAGCAGCGACAATATTTTTTTCTTGTTCAGAAAGATTTTATGGCTGACGATGGCGTCTGGGATGCAGCAATTAAACGTCAGAATGCCAATCTTATAATTTGTATGGCTGATTGGATTGTACCTGGCCACGGACAACCTTTCAGAGTCCTCGCACATTACAGGTAATTTCCATATTAAACCAGAGTGGAACAAATTAAAAAAAAACAATTGTTTAAGGCAAAAGGCCGGATGTACTCGTCTTCTAGCCCAACGTCACATGCTCAATCAAGCTTTCTAAGCTGAAACAGAAAAAGAATTTAATGAAGATGAAAATGTAAGAAAAAAGTAGTTAATAGTATCAGCACTCAAGGTGTTTTTAAAAATCAAATACGCAAATTGAATATTTCTTATTTCATCATGTTACTAATCAAAGCTCGTATGCTTTATACCGTATGTACTATGTACTTGTTTTTGATCATTTTATGACATTCTGCTCATATGCTGCTAATCCGTCGAAGTATTTGACCCCCACCCCCCATCACTTAATAACAGAAAGCTTCTTTCTCATTATTCACCATATTTGTTTTACTTATAAAAGAAATAGAAAAAGATTTAACAGAATATTTGTTTTTCATTTTGTATATTCTTTTATATAAAATATGTTTTATTATATTAAAGTTTTGAGAATGATGGAAGAGAACTCTTAGTTAATGATGCCATGGCGCTTGATGGAACATCATCTGTCAGCAATTGTGAAGCATTCCATGTTGCCTTAAAAGTTACATTATAATTATAACATATATATTTTATTATATTCAAATATACCACAAAATTCAAGCTGTCCTCAATGGAATGATCTCTGGCATAATTTAGAACAACCTAAATGAAATAATATTATAAACAACCGCTCTTCGCATCAACAATTGCTATGAATGAATGTGTATGACGTCACGTCATCACATACAGACGTTTATGCTAATTAATATATTTATCTTACCTTCGTTCCTTGCGTAGCCACAGGACTTTTCAATGCTATAGTCAAAGCCATCTTCATGACTTGTGAGTAGAGTTCATCTCGGTCCTTTAACACTTTGGACACAAAACCTTAAGAGGCATCAAACATTTATGAAATAAAAAGAAAACTAACCAAATCTCTCAGCTTCTTCAGCTTTGAAAATACGACCCGTGATACATATCTGTTTTAATATGTTAAGAAAAATGAAATATTAAATAGAATACATCTTTGATCCAACTATCGTTTCCGCATATCTTCGGTAATCTATTCAGCGTTCCAACATCAGCAGCCATCCCAATATCAACTTCCTTGAAAATTAGAATGAGCATATTATAGTCAGCATAATATATACTTTGACAGAGAAAACAGCATCTTCACTACAAAATCTGATATCAGCTGCTGAAGTCATATCAATGCCAGCTCCAAAGCAAATTCCATGGATGGCAGCAATCACGGGCTTTGAACACTAAAAATTTCCAAGAAAAAAAATATTTGTTAAGCTTTCCATAAGAGATTGTGTGAATACTTTTTCAATGTTCGTAAAAGCTGCTTGCATCCCAAGTATTTTCTTACGCAAAGTTCTCGCCTTACGAGCCACATCCTGTCCGTCTTCATACTCGGTCAAAAAGCTAAGATCTCCTGAATTTTCAATTTTTTTGCTTTTTGAACTTGAATTTTTGAAGTATTTCAACCTTTTAAATCTAATCCGGCGGTGAAGGCACGTCCTTCTCCACACAAGATAACCACCCGACAATCAGAATCTTCATCTAATTTAATGAAAGCGTCACCAATTTCCCTTCAAAGAGATCAATTTAGAATATCAACTGAAAAGAGAATGAAGAGATTGTCAGAGGGAGAATGAAAGGAGGAGGCTACTCTTGAAAGATAAATGATATTATCGAAAAGAACCACACAACCTATTTATAACTATTCATGCATGAAATACCTGCATTTTCAAAAGTTGGCGAACTTCGGACTCACATTTTCTTTTGCTTTTTAAGAAAACATAAAAATATAATTTATTTCGTTATTTTGCCTCGAACAAAGCATTCTTCTGTCCATTTTAAAGTATTTTCTTAGAAAAGAAGTGTTAAAAAGGAGAAAAGAGAGAGAGAGAGGAAGAGAGAGGAGGAGGGACAAGATCATAGAAACGAACAAGAAATTACTTGGAAGAAACAAAAAAAAAAGAAGATGAAAACTCACTGCCATATTTGATCATTGAGAGCATTAAGTTGTCCGGGACGATTCAAAGAGACTCGAACGATATAATCATTCAGCTTTTCAACTTTCAAATGTTTATATGTGTAAAGCATTGTCTAAAATGAAATAACTGAGTGAATATCAGAATGAATGAACCAATAGCACAATGATAATCAATAGAATGTTCTTATCAACTCACATATGGATTGGAGAAACTGTGTTTTCTGACCTTTTTTGGGCATCGATTGGATTAAACAACAACTTTTTTTGCTGTTCAGAATTTTTCCAACAAAAGAAAAAATATGAATTGGAAGACGTAAACTTCATTTGGGAGATCTTCTTTCAGATTACTTCTCACATATTCCATATCTTACAGCTTCATCCATTATGGCACACAAAAATAATTATTAATTTAGAGGTAATCCAAGAATTTACTTTACGTTATATCCAATTAGAAGCTTCAAGGTAAAAAAATATTTTTTTTTTTTATTTTCAAAGCTTATTTTGTTTGTCAGAACGCAGAAGGTTGTTCCTTGCCATTTTTGGAGAAGAAAAAAAAGAGAAAGACAAACAGCATAGGATGCATTGACACTCCCTCCCTCCTTTTTGAACCAAGTTCGAACATGAATTCCGACCCTTGCTCGCTCTCTTTATATCATTCTCTTTGTCTTCTACATCCTTACTCTCTCTCTATATATATACATCTCTCTCTCTTACTCTCTATTGTTATCTATTTTAACAGTTATGTTAACTATCTATAAATCATTTCTTTAATTTCTTCTCATAACTGTGTAAACTTCCAATTTGCTCTGTTCGATAATAGGTATCTTCTATTATCTTCAGCTTTTCATCATTTATGTTTCGAACGATTAGCAGTTGTTAAAGTGTCCGTCAATCATTATTTCTAATACATTTTTCCTGAAAAATTATGAAAGTTTCGAGGGATAATGCGAAAAACTGATTTTCAATTATCTGTTGGTACTTCACACTCATCTCGCTTATGCTTTTAACGACCACCAATGCTGTAACGTCTTATGTAATGACAAGTTCTCTTATATATTTCTGTTTTATTGAAACAATATCATTTCATATCATTCATCTTATGAGATTCATCTCATAACATCTGCAGATGTAAGACTCTTTCTCTCCTCTTCTTTATTATTTTGCTTATGTATTTCCTTATTTGATCTTCCTTCGCCTTCCAAAACAATAAAAACATTTTTCAATCACGAACATCATTGAAGAGAAAGATGTTCTGAATTCTCAATGAGACTTGTCTGAACACCGTTTTCCCTGAAATATTGAATCCGAAAAGTGAATATCAGCTGTACGTTGATCAGAATAGCACAACTTCATCAGCATTTTGAAGATGAAAAGCTCGATGATCGACCAAGGAGAGAGGTAAGGAGGTCAGGTGAGAAGCTCATAGACCACTAGAATGCGAAAGACGATTATGTGGTTATTTGGACGATTTGAAAACTCATTTGAGCTTTTTCCTTAAACTTCTAAATATGAACGAAGACATTTCAAGACAATTGTACTTTCTCGATGCGCCTGACTGAAGTTCATTTTGAGATTTGCAGTTGAAATGAACGGTTGTTCCTTCATTCGATTTTTTTCAATATTTTAATAAAAATATTCAAAAATTAAGGATTTTTTATTGGATTAAAACAAAATTTTAAAGAGAAATGATGAGAATGAGAGGAAAGGAAGTGAATTTACATTGTTCCGTCTCATCTTCCTCAGAAGAAGCCAGCTGAACTTCGGGAACTTCATCGACTATTTGAAGATTTTGTTGTTTCATTGTTGTTTCATGAGTCGAAGTTTTTGTGAATATGTTCAGAGCTTGTTCAACATCCCTAATTTGGTGTGTTCCAATCGAAACACGATGAAGAAGCACATGACGATGACATTTTGTTTTAAAAATTAAGATTTGATCGCGACCAATGAATGATATAAGCTGCGATGTCCTTTGCTGATGAGGAAATTGAGTTATTTCATTATGATTTCTACTCTCCATCGTCTTTCGTAGAATGAGATTCATTACAAACAGGAACTTATTTATATTTTTAATCATCCGACAGGCTTTTCGAGGATTTCAATGATATGATGAGCTTGTTTCTTTTTCTTTCCTTTTTTTCTTTTGTTTTTTGCAGAAATTTTGGATAACTTTTTTTCTGTTCTACAGCTTCTCCTGCAAATTTTGTTTTTTTTCAATCAATTAACTCTTTCAAAAATTGAATAAGCTGGAAGTCATTTTCTGATCTTTGCTGCTGTTCGTCCTGAGAATGACCTCGCCTTCCTCTAACTATCTCATTCTCTCTCATTCAATACGTGTCCACTACCTTCACTGTAACTATCTCTACAGCTTATTACAGGATTTTTTTATTTATTTAAAATTCATCTTTCAAATGTACATGAACGAATTGAACAAGTTGATCAGATGAACCGAAAAGAATTTTCGAAAATTGGTTAGTCAGATAGAAAGGTTGAAAGGTAAGAAGACGTCAACTACCAATCTCATCAGCAATGTTCTTTGCTATGAGGAAGAGAACGTCGAAATGATGGAAATAGTACAAGTTTAATAAGTAAATTGTGCGTTTTAAAATGCATCCGTTTATTTCTTTGAACATAAAATACACATGTTTATAATAGAAACAAAGCGCTTTTCATCTTTTTTTTTATGGCACAGCTTTCTAACGGAGGAGAAGCATGAGCTGTCAGAACATATGATTTGAGACAACCAAAAAAGGCAAATTTAATAGAAAACTTTTTCAATTAAAACATTTAATTATCAATGTTTTTAAGAAATTAAATGTTAAATTGATGAGAAACATCATTCACAGCTTCAAACGTCATTGCAGCTTCTATTCAACCGTTTGATGTTTGATGAGATAGAGAATAAAAAAAAGTTTTCCTCTTTCCTTTTATTAATGATAAAGAAAGATAAAATCATTTATAACTTGTAAGCTTCCTTCTTGGTTTACTTCTCCTCCTCCTCCTCCTCCTCCGCCTACTACTCCTTCTCAGCTACATCTTCTGCTTCATCTTCCCTCATACTACTCTATTTCCTTTTGCTTTTAGTAGTTTATAGCGGCTATTTATTTATAAATTGCTTCACCTTATAATCCACATCCTGCAATTACAAACTATTCCTTTATTATTTAAAATTGTTCTTTTTCTATTTTTTTTTTGTTTTAAATTTTACCTTTTCACATTCAACATTTGGCTCTTCTTGTATCTCAAATTTGAATAAACAAGCTTATGATTCGAATATTAATTATTCATCTGTTTTACACTTCGTTTATTCAAATTTTGAAACGAAGGTTCACGTGCTAACGTCATTTTCATTTTTGGCTTTTATTTCGTACAAAGCGGTTGTGTTTCTCTCATCTCTCTTTCTTTCCATCTCTTTATCTGGTAGACTTCTGCCAACTCTCTCTCTCCCAGTCTCTCTCTCCCTCTCTCTCTCTCTCACTCCCTTTCTCTCTACTGAGATTTTTCAATTCAACTCTTCTTTTCATATGAGTACCGTTTTTGTTCTCATTTTTTGAACTGAATTTAAAAAAAAAAAAAAAGTTTATGTATTTCAAATTTTGCGTAAACAAAGAGTGAGTGGAAGGGTTTTGATGAGATTACATGTAAGTTCGCCAATGTTGTTGAGAATGCTTTTGAGAGCTTAAAGACTAGCAAAAGACAAAAATTGCCTTCTTCAGTCATTTATTGAACAGGAAGTTGATTAATTAGATGATTAGAGGCTTCTTATTACTGAGTTGCGTGGCTTTAATTCATTTCTTTTCTTTAGAGATATTTGAGGTCATTTGTCCATTTCATTTGAAACAAAAAAAGAAACTGAGAATACTCTCTCTCTCTCTCCTTCTCAATTGCAACGGCATGCTTTTCATGCATTTTCAATGAATCCTTAGATCTTCGTCATCAGAACCTTATGTTTCATAAGCTGTGTTTTATTGTCCAAAGTCTAAAGATAAAGCTTTAGTTCCTCGTAGAATATCTTCATTTACTTAAGGTTATTAAGAAATAAACGACAGATAGATGAGGAAGAGGAAGAAGAACACAAATTCTTTGACTTCCAACCTTCCTCTCTAACTCAATTTCCTTTTTTATTTTTTTTTTTGTTGGTTGAACTCCATCTATTCTTTCTCTCTCTTTTTTTTTCATTTTTTTAAAACTATTATGGATTCCCAGAAAGAGAACTCACTTCTCATTTACCAGCTTTATCTCCTCATCTATAAAAAGTTATTTTTCAGTCCATCTCATCCTCTGCTTATAGCTTAGTGCCTAATGAACGAAAGTCAATGAGTTATGAGAGCATGTCAGGGGTGTGTTATGTTTGAAGCTTATCCAATTTGTTAAATAGCTTTTTCACAACAAGAAAAACCTTTTTATACTCTCTTGAGTATTATTTGTTTTCAACAAATGTTTTCTGATCCAAATACATTTAATTTGTCTCCAAGGTTCAGAATAGCACGTGAACTCACTAATGCTTGTGTCGTTCAGTCTGACACATTCCGTTGAACCAAGCTTCTAAGGTTATTTCAAGCCTATAAATGTAATTTGAAAATTTGTGACAAGCCATTTTGATAATTGGAGACGATTCTTTTCACAATCACATGGATTAATTGTTAAAATTGTTGTCCAATGTGGAGGAACAAATGTGATTTGTGGTAGAAAATCTGATTTTTCCTTATTTCGTCGAACTTTTCAGCCAAGAGGTCAACCAGAGAGACAGTGAGAGAGAGACGTTGAAGTATTCAGTCCAAAGCACTTTTCGCTTCATTCTATTATCCAAATCATACATTTCTTTGTTTCTTCAATAAAGCTCCACCAAAATCATTCTTTGAAGTTCTTAGTTCTTTCAACTTGTTCTTATCATTCCATTCGTCCTAATAGTTTTGAATGAACAAATATATTTTTATATTACATAGAAACAAAGTATTCAACTAGACCTTCAGAACAATAACTTCCGGTCTCTCCCTCCTTCTCTGAATCTCTCAAAACTTCCAAGAACTCAAAAGACTTTCAACATAAGACTTGTCTATATCTCTCAAAATCCTAATTCAAAACATCAAAATATGTGTTCACATGTGTTCTA